CCGCCAGGAGTGAATAAGGCTTCCATTCTCTTTACAACCTCGCCAAAATTAGTTGTTTGCTCTTCTGTTGAACTTTGCTATTGTTGCTGGAGGAAACCTCCAGTTCTTAATCCCTTGCCTATTATTTGTCCTGCATTCCCATCTCCCCATGAATGTCTTTGCCTTACAATGGTGAGTGTAAGGTCTTTTGGTCGTACCACAGCATTACTCCTTGTGTGTTCCAAATAAAACATGTTCCTTCATATATTGGTTTAATTTCTTGTGTAGAGTAGTGAGGGGGGTGTTTATTGTCACGTAAATTTAGAAGATAATAATCTAAAATATATTTCCTTCCATGAACTGTTACCTCATTTGCAGTGATACTAGAAATGCCTGGCTGCCATTTCTTAACATTTTGATCAAGGACCCAATAGCTGAATACTGTTCAAAAGGAAGAAAATGGTGGAACAGAATTCCAAATTCATAAAAGAAACTAAATAATTGTATCTATTGAGATTGGAGGACTCCATGAATCTGTTACATGGAATTAATCTTTAAACCTTGAACCAACTGTCTCATGAAGCCATTGTTGAACAACAATGTTTAATTTAATACAGAATGTTTGCATTGAGCATTACACACTTTTAAGGAATTAGATGCATTCAAGTTGACAGTATAATCTAAAACAGGTAAGAATTATAGGGGCAGAGTGGATTAATGAAAATGAAGGAACATGAGTAAATATGTAACTCATTTCATTGAAGTATACATTTAGAAATTATTGATATTTATTTGGTTGTGCATATTACTGTCATAAGGAGCTCTAGTTTGTAGCGAGTTGAGCTACTTAACCCACAGACTGTGTCTCCAGAGGTTTGAATCTACCAACCACTCCAGAGAAACAAACAACCGCCTATTTACAACCTTGGAAACCTAGTGGAGTGGAGGGTCTCTCTTAGGTGGAACCAACTCTGTTACACTGAGGGTGGTTCTTTTTAATTATTACCTTCATAAAGGCTTATTTACTGCAGGACTTAGAACCATTAATGTGTTAATTATGAGACACTCAAGTGAGAAGATGGATAGAGGGTTTTTCAGACTTGCTTGTTCTTAGAACTATTAACCATAAATCATGAGGGTTCAGTATTCTGTAGAATAGATTTTCAAGAAAAGCCGACTTTTTAAACATATGTAAACATAACTATTTAGAAGCTGTGATGTATGCATTGTTTTTCAAAATAGAAAATGGGTTGAAGTCTTGAATCTTTCCAAAAGATTTCTGAAAAGAAAAGATTTCTTTTTCAGGTTGAAAGATGAGTAAGGAAAGGAAGAGAGAGTAGAACTTAATAAATAGTTAAGTTGGGTAGAGGGAAAGGCAGTGTACTTACTGAAGGGCTTGACCAGAGGAAAAGCCGACTTTAAGAGTGGAATAGAACCTTGGTAGCCTATCATAAAGTTTGTCATTGCTTTACACTTACATTGCCAAGAGTTCTGGTGGCATACTTGGTAGGGAGTTGCACTGCCAACTCAAAGGTGGTACACCACACGAGGTGTATGGCGGCAAGCAGCACTGAGAGTTGATTCAGCTCAATGGCAGAGTTTTAAGGTTTTGCCCTTGCTGAACCCTCCATCCTACATTTCCCTTCTGAGGAAGAGAGTATCTCACTAATCCCTTCCTCTAATTTAGTGACTAAGAAAGTCTTACAGTTGCTTAGGAAGCCCGTACTATTTATCTCACTAATCACACTAATCTTGCCATCCTCTCTTCTGAAAGTTATTTCCCTTTCTCCCCCATCCTGTCTCTGAGTCCTTAAGAAGTTGCTCTGACACTATCTTTGCACATAACATCTCTTTGACACTCTTCATGAATCAGTCATATTCCATGCTCCTTGTCTAACTTTATGAAACTAATAGAATTCTACTCTTGTTAAATTGAGAGCAGTTAACAGGAGGCAGAAATATGACAAATGTGTTTCTACAATTAGAGGCCTGGAAAATGAGAAGCTTCATGTTTTTCTCTAGACTTTTTCCATATTTAACTGATAGATTCCTTATGGTGTCTTTCAACATGATTTTCAGTCCACTGTGTGGCAAGAAACAGCACTGCAATTCCAAAGGCAGGTGGCTCGAATCCACCAGCTGATCTCAGGAGAAGGGGACGCAGTCTCCTTCCATGCTATTAACTGCCTCTGAAAACCTGCCAGAGGGTCAACTATGGGTTGCTTCTGATTCAACAACACACAACAACAATGTAATTCATTTAAACTTTGCCAAATCTAGACTATTGATTAGACCAAGGTTGGATTCTTTTGTAAGATTTGTTCATGGTTAAGGTATCATTACTGTGGCAATGTCAGGAAGCCACTGTATCTGGTTGTATCACTCTCCTATGGATTTGTTGTTAAACAGTCAAAAGATTCAATTGTTATATTGTGGCAACACATACTTAGATCTCCTGCAGCCATCTTTGACCTAATAATTTTAAACATGGATGGAGACAAGCAAATATAGTTAACCCAAGGGGTAAAGAGAAACTTCAGTGGGTTAAAGTTATTGCTACACTTAGATGTACCTCCATATTAACAGTAATGTTTGATCTCAAAACAGATCAGTCAACTCCTTAAACTCCAGCACCTTCCAGAAACAACCATTGCTTTCTTGCTGTTCTGTCACGTGCCTTAGAGTGAGAACTGACTCCTAGCTGAGTTTTCAATCAAGTTTCCAGAGGTTTTCCATCACACAGGAAGTGACTGCCCATCTTTCTTCCAGAGCAAGTAGATTGAAACTGCCTATCTTTGGGTTGACAGCATAACTCCTTATACACTCTTTTAGCCCATGACAATTCTCCATCAATGATTTTGAGGCTATAAATCTTGACAGGAAGAGACTGTTCATAGTTCTACTGCATAGTAGCTGCTCAGCTCATCATGTACCACACCACAAGAGCTCCTTTTTACCAGAAAGAATGTACCATGCCACCAGAACTCCTTTACCAGAAATAATAGCATCCAGTTGTTGTTGTTGTTGTTGTTGTTGTTGTTGTATGCCGTTGAGTTGACTGCGACTCATAGCGACCCTGTGTACAACAGCCCTAAACCCTGTTCTGTCCTGTGCCAATCTCATTGTCTCCAACACACCTACCCCCATTACTCCAGTCACTGAATCAGTCCACCTCATAGAGGGTCTTCTCTCCTGTGCTATCCCTCCACCCTCCCAAGCATGTTGTCCCTCTCCAAGGACTGGCCCCTCTGTACAACAGGGGCAGAGTATGTCAAATGAAGCTTCAGAATCCTTGCCTCCAAGGAGAAGCCTGGTTTAACCCTCTCTAGGGTGAACCTGTTTGTTTTCTTAGCAGTCCATGGTATATTCAATACTCTGCTCCAACACCACAACTCAAAGGCATCAATTCTCCTTCTATCTTCCCTAGTCATTGTACAGCTCTCTGATGCATACCAAGTGATTGCAAAGACCATGGGCTGTATCGGGCACACCTTGGTCTCCAGAGTGACACCATTGCTCTTCAGTACTTTGAAGCGGTCCCTAACAGCAGACTTTCCCATCACAATATTTCTTTACCTGGCTGCTGGTGCCAAGAGTATTGACTGTGGACTAAAGCTGTTAGCAATCTCAGTCTCTTCACCATCCATCCTGATGTTGCCATTTGACTTCTTGAAATTGAGCATCAATCCATATTGAAGGCTGCAGTCCTTGACCTGCAGCAAGCACTTCAGGTCCCCCTCAGTTTCAGCAAGCAGGGTTTTGTTATCTGCATAATACAGATTGTTGACTCTTCTACCAATCTTGATGTCACACTTCTCATACAGCCCAGCCTCCCAGAAAATCTGTTCTGCAAATAGATTGAAAGGGTATGGGGAGAGGACACATCCCTGGCATACATCCTTTGCGATTTTGAACCATGCAGTGTTTCCTTGCTCTGTTCTGACGACTGCCTCCTGGTCCAAGAACAGGTTTTGCATTAGCATGATCTAGTGTTCTGGGATTCCCATTCTTCTCAAAGTCAGCCACTCTTTGTTGTGATCCACACAGTCAAATGCCTTTGCATCATCAATGAAACACAGACATTCTTCTGATATTCCAATTAAAGATGTTGAAAACTGTAGGCAGCCACAAGCTCCAGTGATGATGGCCTGGTGGATACTGACAAAGGTGGGCCATTTCTTCCAATGCAATGTACAGCCACTGAATACACACTGGAGGGTCAGCTATGAATCAGTTCCGACTTGATAGTAAAAATTTAAATTTTACAAGCTTGTGCGTGTAGATAAGTAATAAAGACCTTATTACACAAAGAATTTAATTCTTTTACTTAGATGAGAACGCTTGATCGAGGGCCCATGAATCTCTTAATCTGTTTTTAGTCTCGTTTCAAAGACAGTTTACTAAATGTGAAAGTTGGCACATTGGTGTTTGATTTCTGTCATCTCTCTGGAAATTAAAGGAGCTCTGGTGGTGTAATCCATAGGCAACTCAAAGGCAGCACCTATCCAGTGTTTGAATCCACCAGCAGCTCTGTGGGAGAAAAATGGATGTTCTCCTCCCCTAAGATTTGCAGCTGAGAAAACTCACTAAAGGGTTCACTTGTAAATTGGTTCCAACTCCACGATGTTGAGTTGATATGAAAACTTCAAAAATTATATGATATGCTTAAACTACTTAGGACTGCTTGCTCTATATTTATACCACGTTCTGTATTGATGATTTATCCCTCCGAGTCTGAGCTGTCATTTACAGATCATCTAAAATGTGCTCTCTGTATTAAGTCACTTTCTTAACCGTTTGAGTTCAGGGAAAAAAATACATAACTCTGCTGTGTTTCAAACACTTAAAATTACCTGAAAAGTAATAGCCAGTTATCTCAATCATCACATCAATAATATTTTTAATTTAAAAAAATCAGAATTTAAGCTTTTACTAAATAATGCATGAAAAATTTGTACAAATTTTAAATAAAACCTTATTTGTGTGGGGTTTTTTGTTTCTTTTTTGTGTTTTAAAATTAGATTACACCACCACCATCACTGTCAGATCCTCTTAAAGAGCTTTTCCGGCAACAGGAAGTTGTAAGAATGAAACTACGTTTGCAGCACAGTATTGAACGAGTAAGATAAATTTATATCTTTGCTAAAAATAGAAATTATATTTTTCTCTGTATTTTGAAATGGCCTGCAAATGTTCTATTTAGAAGCATTTGGGGAAAGGATTATATTTTCATTTTTGTGTATGTGTAGTTAAATAGAGAATTTCTTTTTAAAATATTTTTTTTATTTTTTATTGGGAAAAACATATTGAGGGTACAAGGAGGTGAGGGTTGGGGGCAGAAGGGTGAGGATGGGCCAGGATGCAGTTGCAGAGCTGCACAGTTTGGTTGGTGGGGGGAGCAGGTGAAGGAAATGATGAGGGTCCAGTGGGGATCAGATGCTACAGAAGAGTGACAAGCATTTTTCAATGGTAATTAAACCAACTATCTTATTGATTTGGGAATTGGATGCTGACTCTCTGGCTTCTTCATGCTGAACATGGACATAGATGTAAAGGGGGGAAGGGAGGACGCTTTATCACCTTACTGGTGGTCTTGGGTTAAAGCTGCTTGCCTTCTTGCTCTGTTAGAAGATATTTTCCTGTGATTTGCTCCCCTCTGGACTGCAAAGTGTTTTCCCAGGTGGGTCCAGTGGGAATGGCTGGTTGAACCCAGAGGCTCCATCCTCCTTTGCTTCCTTAGCTGTCAGTTGTATTTCCTTTTTGTCACTGGCACTGGGTTCAGGGTCAATTCTGGAGTAAAACTCAGTGTTAAGGTTACCTATAGGAAAGGGAGCAAACCTTGGGAGAACAAACTTGTGAGTTACAAATAGAAGGGCTTTGAGGGTGTTGCTTTCAGGTTTACTGGGGGGGAGGGTGGCAAAACGTGGCCTAGGTAACATTCTCTGGATACCCTAGGCATTCTTTTTTCTTTTTCCCCCTTCCCCACCCAGGGGTCAGATGGTACAATCTGGGGACTGAGGAGCTCACCCTGAGGGCAGCCTGCCCCAGGCAGAGGGCCGTGATGGCTCACCCCACGCCGGGGGCCGAGGGCAGCCCGTTTTTAAAATATTTTAAGATAGCTGCTATCCAGATCAACAATTCCTGTTTGGTATCTTTTTATGGTATGAAAAAGTTTTCCATAGTTTCTTGTTGTCATTTGTTGTATTTGCAGACCTACTGCAGTGAACTCCTAGCAGGATGTTGGGGTTTCCAAATTTGAAATAACTGCTTAGTAGTACTAGCTGTTTACGAGCTAAAGTGCAAAACACTCACAAAATATGGAGGGATTTTTGTTCTTATGGCTCTAAGTTGGTCTCTGGTAATTAAATAACATGAAATCACAAAATACTGTAGTTTTATATGAAAATCATAAAATTAATTTACTTGGATTTACAGAAACATTACATAGTTTTATGTTATTCCTTTGATGGGAATAGAACCTCTGAAAATAGAATAAAACCTGTAATCAATATTAACCTGTAAACATTACTAACAGAAATAGACATTTACAGCCAAAATCCTCTACACATTTCTTTATTCATCTGTGCTTGATTCCCTAGCACGAAGATTCTTAACCTTTTTTGTGCTATGACCCCTGTAACAATGTGGAAACTTACTGAATCACTTCTTAGCATTAACAACTTGAATGCAGAAAATAAAATTCATAGGATCTTAAGTAGAAAAAAGTGAAAAATTAAAAAACATTGATAATTACAGAATATACAACATTATACATGACTTATGTTGATTAATAATTTATTAATAATTAGTGTTGGTTCATATAGCATAATTTAGTAGTGATTTCAACCAAGAGAACTCATCTGTTATATATTTATTTGTGCATTGATACTTGTTACAGAAAACCATGCCACCCTACATATAGTTAAAACTTATCACTAAATGCACACTTGTGTTTATTGGGGCTTTGTTCACAATAGCAAAGTGACAACCCAAGTGCCCATCAAGAAACAAATGAGTAGAGAAGCTCGGGTATATTCACACAATGGAATGCTAAGCAGCATTGAAAAACAAGGAACTCATGAAATAGTATGCAAAATGGAAATGGATGACCCTGGAGGACATTATGTTGAGTGAAATATCTCAGTCACAAAAGGACAAATATTGCGTAGGGCCACTGTTGTAAAACGGGACTGACAACAGGTTTGAGGGAAGACAGAAAAGGAGGAGAGGAATGATGTATATTGCACTGAAACAGATGAGAGAGAGAACTGTTTAAAAGGGATATATGAATGGGTATTCTTGTCATTACAGAAGTCCAGAGTGAAAGCTGCATAGTGAAGCCAACTGAGGAGGGGAGGGCTTACATAACAATGAAAGATCTTTTCTTTTCAAGGAGAAGAGTGAATTGGGGGCAGGGGGTGCACAGGGAGAAAAGTGCAACAATGAATGATGGAAACCCTAAGTCTCTAAATTTTCATTAAAATAAAAAAAATAGAAGGATAACAAAAAAATTATCACTGAAACTGTACATTTCAGAAACTTAACAAATATCAAGAACAACTCATTTCCTACCTCATATTTATGAACAAACAACTTAAAATTGTAGAACAGTGCACTTAACACTTAAATGCCTGACAGTGGAAGAACAAAAACTACTTAGTAACTGAATTTGGTACCATTTCTTTAACATGTTTTGGGTTTGGTTTCTTTTATCGTTGTTTTAGAGGTTTGTTTCTTAAGTTTGAAAAATGAATTGTTAAAGAATGCATTGTGTGAGTGTGTGCACATTTAACTGTTCAATTAGGAAAAACTCATCGTATCCAATGAGCAGGAAGTTCTCAGAGTACATTACAGAGCTGCAAGAACCCTGGCCAATCAAACACTGCCATTTAGTGCTTGTACTGTCTTGCTGGATGCAGAAGTATACAATGTTCCACTCGACTCTCAGGTAAAATGTTCATTGGTACATTTAAAAAACTTCAATTTTTGTTACTTAAGAGTTGGGTTTTTTTACCTTTTCCATAGAAGAAACTGGAATTCAGCAATTTCCCAAGTTCAAAGAAAAATTCTTTCTGACCACTTTTGTTTCTGGCGTAACTGATCTTCTATTTTCTAAAGTCTCAACTACGTAAGATTCTTATTAAGAAATTAGATGATCATAAAACAGATGTTTTAAGAACATGATCTTAAGATAAATTTCAGATTGCCTTACATATGACTTGTAATTTACTTCAGCTGTAGATTTTTACACATTTAGTTCATAGCCATTTACCTGTACATTAAAGAACAGTACAAGCAGGTAGAACCTCTTAAGTTGTAGCATTACTAAAATATTATGTAACTCATGTTTTAATCTTGATTATTGATGGGATAAATCAATATAATTTAAGAAATATGTCTTTAAAGAAGCTTACTGTTACATATAAATCACATTAATTTAAAAAGCAGCCATATCAGTTACCAGAATTTTTTTTAAATAATGTAAAAACTGTAATGACTTAAAAAATACATAAACATAGTATTTCAAGGATCTTCACTTTTAACAGTGACAAGCTAGTAACATAAAGGGTATGGGGTATATTCTGGCTCATCACTTCCCCCTCTCTGAGCTTATTATTTGTAAAACAAGGATACAGAACTAGATTATTATTTTGTCAATTTTTTAACCCACCAAATATTTTCTTCAAATGAAAGCATCCAGTGATATCTGAAGAAGCTATTAAAATAAATAATTGGATCTTAAGAAAGAACTGTTTAAGGAAATAAACACTTGGAAGGCCACTGAGGGAGTTTTAGAATTTCCAGTTTTAACATTGTTAAGGGGATGCTTTTTGTAATAGAAATTAATAATTTAACCATTCTTAAAAAAATTTTTTACTAAATCGTGTGTTAATTTGGGTGGTATCCTGGCTTAGTAGTAAGGCATTGCACTTCCAATACAAAGGTACGTGGTTCAAATCCATCAGCTGCTCCACAGAGGAAGATGGGCAGTCTCCCCCAGTGTAATGTACTGCCTCTCAAAATGCGCTGGAGGGTCAGCTATAGGTTGATCCCAACTGAATGGTTTACACCAGCATTATATGGTATCCTGAGGTCCTTTAAGTTTTATGCAGTTGTAGAATAATAAAATCTATTTTAAAGTAGGTTTAAAACTTTTTCTAACATTCAACTACATTCATTGTTCTCTTTCAGTCTGATGACAGTAAAATTTCTGTGAGGGATCGCTTTAATGCAAGGCAGTTCATGTCTTGGTTACAAGATGTGGATGATAAATTTGACAAATTAAAGGTATGTATATTTAGAAGTTCAATTTAAATGAACACTACACCTTTCATAAACAATGAATGGAAACTAATTATAATAATTAGGAAAGGAAATATTTTTTAGTCATAAATCCTCTTATTTTTGACTCTGTAAAGAAAATTCTAAAGCACCAAGGTGCACTGGTGGCCTAGTGGTAAAAAACTGCACAGCAATCCCCAAGGCAAGTGATTTGAATCCACCAGTTGCTGTGCAGAAAAATGGGCAATTTCCTCCTGTTCAATTTACTGTCTCTGAAAACCTACTGGAGGGTCAACTATGGGTCCATTCCGACTCAGTGTTACACAACAAGAAGAAAGAAAGAAAATTATTCTAGTATTTTAATAATTTTATAATTATTTTCTTGATTCTTTTGATAATTTCTTTTTTTAAATTTTAATTTTTTAAATTTACATAAAAGTTTACAAATCTCATTTTTTTTCCAGGCAATCATGTGTAGGCAGAAATTACCATTAATTGATGTAATTAACTTATTATCATGTCTAAGCAGACCTTCTATTCCCTTTGGCCAGGTTTTCTGTTTAGTTTTTAGGTTTGGTTTGGTTTTGTTCTGTTTTCCCTTTCTGGTTTCTTCCACTCCCAACTGTCATATTGTTCAAAATCCTTAATTGCAGTACATAAAATGTCTGGTCTTCAATTCTGATTGATCTTCCCTTCACCTATCCCAATACAGAAGTTCTCTATCCATTCTTTCCCTACTCCTATGATAATTTCAGACAATATTTTTAAGTACTAATTGTAAGAAGGGTGAAAAGTTGTGGGTCCAGAAGTAGTTGCCAGATAAGATATGAACCAGATAAGATAGGAAATAGGCATATGATTAAAAGATCTTTAAACTCTGTGTCCATCTCTTCCCTAAAGAAATATACATTAAATTAATTTCTAAGCAAAGCAAATTTGACAAAATAATCAATCTATCTCTTTTTTTATGTAGACCTGTCTTTTAATGAGACAACAACATGAAGCTGCTGCCTTAAATGCTGTCCAGAGATTAGAATGGCAACTCAAACTCCAGGAACTTGATCCTGCTACCTACAAATCTATCAGCATCTATGAAATCCAGGAGTTCTATGTTCCCCTTGTGGATGTTAATGATGACTTTGAATTGACTCCTATCTAACACACAGCCATTACTGCTGGCATTGATGAGGCACAAAATATACTGTGGAAATCTGCCTTTCTACACACATACTCATATGCCTTTACAGTTGTTAGTAAAGTTTTATTTAAGTTAGTTATGTAGTAAATGTTGTCATTTTATTTTTTAAATAAATGAAGATAATTATTTTGGATCTTAGATCTAAACAGTTTCTAACTGAAAACTATTATTTATATTGATGAAAGGTAGCTGTTGCATTGGGGTATATTGGCCAACTGTGGTAGGTACTTAAAAAGCTGAGAATTGCTAACAGCGCTGGAAGTTGTTAGCAATCTAAGTAACAAGATAACCACTAGTATTCAAATATATTTCAGGTTTTATTAAAAATGTATCAGTAAGCTAAAAAAGTTTAATTCCTACCAGATAGTTTCTAATGTGGAAGAAAAATTTGGCACAAAATTTCTTGAGTTTACCATATATGTAAATTAATTGTACAGTATTCTTTTGGAAATTTTAATATTGTCTTACTTTTTAATAACTTATTTTATACTTACTGTGCAGATGTAAATCTTGTAATTAATGGCCAAAATGCATACCAAGGGATTGGTAGTAAAAACATGTACAAAGAAATAATTGTAAAGCTGTTATGTCTAATGTTCTATGGACCAAAGTTGTAGTTTATATATGGAGTACGAAAGTAGTGTGTTCAGGTAGCAAAACGTTATGGTATGCATGTGTTTGAGTTAGCTGTTTTCATCACCATAGCTGTAAAGATTATGTCGTGGTTGTATTGCATGAATCCTGTCATTTAAGTCCACAAGTGATGCCTAAAACAGTGTCATATATGTCATCATGCACTGAGGTCATGCCCAGGCTTACTGTGTTAAACATTATTTAGAATTACTCATTCAAAAAAGAAATAGCTCTTTTTTTCATCTGATAGTAGAGCTAGTTTACCCCCCCAAAAAAAGCTTTTGAATGAAAATTCTGAAACTGTAAATGTCTATTTTAATACTCGACTATTACAGAATATGTGACTATATGTAAATATGTTTAATAAATTTTATTAGTCATGTTAAATCATTGTAAAACTTTTTTACATTACTTATATTTAATGTTATAAGCTTAATAACCTTTGCACTTTAAAATAAAAACTGAGTACTCAAATCATGAAAGATTGAGTTAAAATAAGGAAAAGACTATTAAGTATATTCCAACCAATCTTGGCAGTGTTCAGGAATAGTGGCTAGTAGGTTATATTTTTCTCCTTACATCAAGATGCAAAACATGTAACTTGCCAAGTTTTATAATTTAAAATTCAGTATGTTGTTTTATAATAAAATAATTGCTATACACTTAAGAAAAATCCATTGTCTCCTATAACATGTTGTATATTGAGTATTCAGGAATATATCTGCTACTGATCTTGGTAAACAGTTTTGAAAGAAAACTTAGTTTAATATAAAATTAATCCATGATTATTTGAGATAAAATTTATACAATTTTCCAGAATACTTTCTGGAATTATAAAATAATGCTGCTGAATGTTTTTTCTACTGAGAGGAAGAGTATATAAAAAATGAAGTGATTTTGAATTTGAGAGTTGGAAATTTTGGCTAAAGGTGTGGATATAAAACTTGACGGTTTTGAGTGCAAAGGTAAATGTTAAGCTTAGAGATTTTTGCATCTTTATGTCACTTTATATTTCATTCCTATTGTACTAGGCATGCACAATATAGCAGCACGTGTGAAAAATTACACAGTGCAAAGACTTCATTTTAAAAGTTGGCTATAGGTCTCTTTAGAAACTTAAGTGGGAGATTTTGGCCTTTTTTTGTTGAATAAGTGGAACCAGAGAGACAGAGTAGCTTTGAAGCACTGGTTTTGTTGAAGTTCAGTTTATTAAGACTAGGAATATTAAAAGCTAATTTATGAAAGCAATACTTTTTAATATGAAAACTTAATGTGTTTTTTTACCTAAAAAGATAATTTAATGGGATTCTATGGCAAATCATACAAATGAAAAACTCACTTTATTGACCACAAGTTAGAGAAAAACCAGAAGGATAAGTTTCTAGAACATTTTGTTTTGAAAGTCCTATCACAGAAGGAAGGGAAGAAAAACAATGTTTGACCAAACAGAACACATTACAGAAGAGAAAAAGCAAGCAAGAAGAAATCTGGCATATTTTATTCATGCTAACTTTTTAACCACAATTCTTAATCTTTTTAATAGTACCTCAAAAAGGTAGAGCCTCTCTGAATGCCTTCTCTTTAGGAACCTGCAATCATAATCAAGTACTCAAGAGCTTTGGTGTGACAGTACTCTGAAGCTCTGGAATTCTTTTTTAAAAAAAATAGGAAAAAAAATACCCAAAAGGGTTTTGAGTTCTCAAGGAAAAATTAAGAATGGTTTATTTAATCAGTGATTTAAAAAAAAAAAACTTCGAAACAACCCTATTCACATATCATGAACAAGATACTGAATTGTACTGAAGGATTTGTATTTCTTTAAATCTTACTCTAAATCATATCTGTTTAATAAATAAATAGTTGGTATTTGTGCATGTTATTTAATAAAGAGTTATATTTTTATAGAAAAATAAAAGTAAAGTATGTGCTTTTTTAAAAAAAATTTCTTTTCCACTCCCTTGTAACTATAAATCAAACATAAATGTTTACTTGAGCACCTGACAGATATTCAATTCTGGTTACACCATCAGCCTCTGAAGAATTAGCCATTTAGAGGTCGCACAGATGAAACTAAGTACTACCTTCAAAAGGTAGAAATCTGTCAGAAAGAAAATACAAATGTTTTCCAATAATATATGAAAACCATGACCTAGGCAAGGCTATTCCTTGGAAAGGGAAAAAGACATTATGCTTGGAAAGGTGGAGGGTCAGGAAAGAAAGGAAGACTCCCAGTGAGTTGAGTTGGGTTGCCACAGTAACTACAGCAGTGGGCTCTAGTGTGTCAGAGATAATGAGGATGGCACAGAATAGGACAGAATTCAGATATGCTTTTCATATGTGTGTTGTACTCAACTTGATAGCACCTATCAGCAAAATCATTCTCTGTCAAAGGTGGAGAACTTAGGAGACCCAGAAAAAAAGCAATCTTAAGTTCCAGCTCTCACAAGTTCACTGTATTAGGCGTGCATGCAAACTTCCTAACTCCGATCTCGAGCAGAGACCTCAATTAGCACATTTTAATATAACTTAAGAATTGTAATTTTAGAAATTCACTATAAAGTTAATATGTGTGGTTTTTCTTCAGAAAAAAATGTAAAACTATTTTTATTCTATCTCTGATATCCCAACATACGAAGAACCAAACGTCTAAATGAAACGTAATAGAAATTTCTGTATAACTAAGGTATTTTTCAACATTTAAAAATCACTTCAAATTTAGATTGCTGCAGTCTTTGGAATAGCTTTATGTGGAAATTTAAGCTGTTGAAAATTATCTGTTTGCTCTTTAAAAACTGTTAAGAGTTGAAGTCTTGCCTATCCTGAGACTCCTTCCAGAAGTGCTGCTGCTGCTGGTCACAGGCATTCTGGCTTCAAGGTTACTTTGTGGAACTGGAGCATTGGCCACTCAGGCCTTGAGGGCCCGCACTCCTAATGGGGTAGCCACCATGAACTTTATGGCATCTGGAGGTGGTGTGCCTACGGGTGATGATCAGGCGGCAGAGTTGGAGCAGGAGGTCATGATGGCTGCTCAGAAAGGCCAGGATCTATACAATATGTTTGCTTCAAAGGCAGCTTCTGGCACTAAGGAAGATCCTAATTTAGTTCCCTCCATCACCAATCTGTGAAGAAGACAACAGTGCTGTGATCTGGTTTTGGCTACACAAAGGTGATGCACAGCGATGCCCTAATTGTGGGGCCCATCACAAGCAGGTGCCCTACCAGTTAGCTCACTGAGTGAGCCCCTGAATGTGCTCGTGCTCCCACTGATGTGGTCAAAATGTACTGGAATGTTTCCTTCTTTCCAATAAAGACTAACCACTGCTTTGGCTCCTTCCATTTAAAAAAAGAAAGAAAAAAGCCGGATAGAAGATCAATATTCAAAAATTAGATTCCTCTACAGTAACAAAGAGAACTCAGAAGGAAATCAAGAAAGCAGTACCATTTTACACAAATTGAGTGAACCCAACTAGAGATACAAAAGACCTATACAAAGAAAACTACAGAACATTTCTGCAAGACACAATAAAAGACCTGAAGAAATGGGAAAATGTGCCCTGTTCATGGATAGGAAGACTCAATATTGTGAATATGACAATCCTATCAAAAGCTATCTACATACTCAGTGCAATCCCAGTACAGATACCAAATTCATTTTTCAAGGAGATTGAAAGGGAAATTGTCAAGTTTATTTGGAGAGGCAAGAGACCCTGAATAAGTAAAACACTTCTAAAAAAAAATTAAGTGAGAGGGATAGCACTTCTTGATCTCAAAATGTACCAGAGTAGTAGTAACCAAAACAGCAAGGCACTGGTACAATGATAGGCATATAGATCAGGGGAACAGAATTGAGAATCCAGAAAAAGACCCAGCTATCTATGGTCAACTGATACTTGACAAGGAAACAAAACATATCAAATGGGGAAAATGACACCCTCTTCAACAAATGGTGCTGGCAAAACTGGACTACTACCTGCAGGAAGTTGAACTAGGTCCACATCTCAAACCATACACAAAAATCACGTCAGGGTGGATAAGAGACTTGGGAGTGAAAACCCAAACCATGAAAGTTCATAAGAGTCAAACTGGGATCAAGCTTAGAAGCCCTAGTCTGATATAAAGACACTATGAAGTACAGCCAGAAATGTACACGCTGAAGAGGATAAAACTGATACATGGGACCTTCTAAAGATTAAATTCATGTGTGCATCAGAACTTTTTCCAACAGGGTAAAAAGAAAACCTACTGACTGGGAACAAACATTTGGCAATACCATCTCAGACTAGAATCTCATAAAGTTTATAAAATGCTCCTGGGCCTCCACAAGAAAA